CTGTCTCTTATACACATCTAGATGTGTATAAGAGACAGATGCCAACCTGACAAACGTCCTGGGCCGCCCCATTTTTTTTTTTTTTTTTGCCCCTGGGGCCTCCATCCAGACATGGGGACCGGACACCGGACACCAGACACCAGACACTGGACACCGGACACCGGACACCGGACACCAGACACCAGACACCGGACACTGGACACCAGACACCGGACACCGGACTGTCTGGAACCCGGTCCGGACGTCCGGGCGGTTACCATGAACTAAATGCTGAAAAAATCGAATAATAATAATAATAATAATAATAATAATAATAGTAATAATAATAATTAATTTTGAGAAGTAAATTCTGGTTAAATTTATTCGAAATGAATTTTGGGGTATGAAAAGCGTGAAATTTCAAAAGGAATTAAGTAAATTTATTGTTGAATTAAAAAAAGTAAAAAATTGAAAAATAATTTAATTAATTCGAACGTGTTTTCAAAATTTTCGAAAAAGAATGAATGAAAACTTTTTGAAAAGTAGTTTCAAAATTTTCGAAAAAGTTCTAGTTAGAAATGTTTTCGAAAAAGAAATGTCGAAAAGAATTTAACTAATTCTAAAATATTTTGAATTACAAGGATTTTGAAAAAGAATTCATTACTTCGGTGGTGCGTTAGCGCAGCTGCGCTAACGCGCCGCCCCAGTAGCAGCATTCGGGCGTTGGGGGATCGCGTACGGGGTCGACGAAATCTGTCTGCTCGGATTGCGAGAACTTGGCGTAGGGGTGACCATGGCGGCGCAGGGAGGAACACGGGGGTGTTTGGGGGGCGTGCCGAGGTCTCACTTGACTTCGTCAAGAATCCTAGTTCGGTGGAGGACGGAGAGAGCGATATGTGGGGGCCATCGGCAGGTGGGATCTGGATGCTGCACTATACCTGACGAGACTGATCGGGGGCTATGCCCCTCGGTCTCTGATACGGAGGTTTTTGCGGGGGTCTCGTGCCTTGACATCTTGTCAGGGTCAGCCCGTGAATGTGATGGCGACAGAAGTAATGGAGATTGCTGCGGGACTTCCCACATCCAACGCACAGTTCTGCTTACGATCTCCAGGAGTGCTCATCGACTTCTTGACTTCGGAGCGTTCACCTGTTGTGGCCTGTTTTAGGGCCTTGAGAGAGTGTATGTGTGAGTGACTGTATGTGTGAGTGGGTCAGTGGTTTTTATTAGATTAGGGCTGAGGTCATATATGTGTTTTCTGGTGTTTTTCTTGTTCTTTGTTGGGTAATAGCTGCTGTGATTTGTTGCAACTTTAGTATAGCATTTTTTGCATGCGATAAGACGAGTAAGAGAGTGCCTCTCTGTAGAATCGCCATTATGGTGGGCGGTGGTGTTTCCTAGTGAGACGGCGCAGATTAGTGGTAGTGGTTTTTCCTAAATCGCGAGGAGGTGGGTGGGTTTGAGGGGTCCTCGACCCCTGCCGTGCGGGAGGTAGGATATTACCGCTGAGATGTTGAAATGGGGTTGGGCTTCATCTTATCTGTCTAGGCTGCTGTCCTGTTATCATCTAAATTTTTGCGGTTGTATAGTGAGCATCATCTCACCGGGGCTTCGTCATGAAGGGCGGTGAAGCATCCGTAGGGGGTATATCCAGAATCGAGGGAGTGGTTTACCCTAAATCGCGAGGAGGTGGGTGGGTTTCGCAGGGCTTTTTGGCCCCTGACGCGCGGGAGGTGGGGTAATCCCCTGGTTAGCAAAAACAGCATCGTGGTGGGAGTTGGTGTTTTTGAATGAGGAGTGTGGGGAGGTGCTATCTGCTTTGAATCACAAGGAGGTGGGTGGGTTTTGCGGGGTCTCTGCCTGCAGATTGGGGGCCTGTGGGCACAGACCCCTGCCGCGCGGGTGGCAGAGCGGATTAGCAGGGGGTTGGTAGTCACTTTGATGAATAGTGGACATCATCAAGCAGCGCTGACCTTTGGTTTTCCTCTGTTCTTTTGATTGCCTTTTTGTGTATGTTTTCTTTTATGATTGGTGGAATTATGGTTACTAATTAGGATTTGTAATTTTCGTTGAGTTTTTAGGATAGGGGAATTAGGGTTTTCAGTGACGAGTTTTAGATTTCTTTAGTGTTTTCATTCCTCGCGGATAATTTCGATTGTGGTGGAAATTTTCGTTTACTCTTTCAGTTGTTGGGACTGTGAAATTGACAGTGGGGTTAAATCTAGTGGTGTCCTCTATGGGTTAGGGCGATGATGCCTTGCCCACTGAGGGCTCCACGTAATTTTGTAAGGGACGCCGGCCCCAGTTCCCGGCTTTTATTTAAAAAAAAAGAGTTTTGTTATAAAAAAAAAAAAAAAAAAAGAATTCATTTTTTTTTTCTTTTTTTTTGGATTTCGAAGAAGAAATGCCGAGAAAGAATGATGGGATAATTGGTCGTGGGTGAAAGGCGCCTTCACGCCGTGGACACAACTCCCTTGGCCTGTCTTTACCGGTTCATGAATTCGGTCCTGTTTTTGTGCCAGATTCGTGAACCGGTAGGGCCCTTCTTTTTCAAAATACGGTACGTGGGCCTTATTATATCTTTCAGCGGTACCACCATCGGCCTCTTCTACATGGAAATGAATCTGGCGCAGTTTATGCGCCAGATTCATGATCCGATAGGGCCCTTGGAGCGACGCGTGGGCCTGTAGTACCCCAGATGGAAGACATTGGGCCGGTAGTACCAAACGGCTGAACTCTGGGCGGCCAAAACCGAAAAGGTTTTGGCGTGAGCGCCTTCTACCAATTATCCCAAGAATGATTAATTCGACGTATGTTCGAAAATTTCGAAAAAGAAAATATTTGTGAAAAAGAAATGCCGAGAAATGAAGGATTTGCAAATTTACAAGAATTTCAAATGAATTTTGGAAAATAATAATAATAATAATAATAATAATAATAAATAAGGAATAACTGGCTAATGAAGTAAAGCGAGGTCGAAGTGATCCTATCTATGATTGATTGGTGATGGTGGGGGGGGGGAGAGGGGAGAGTGGGGGAAGTTGCGTAGGGGGGAAAGGAATGTCGGGGTAAGGGGATCCCGGTTGGTGTCGGGGTAGGGGCAAGACTGAAAAGGTTTTGGCGTGGGCGCCTTCTACCAATTATCCCAAGAATGATTAATTCGACGTATGTTCGAAAATTTCGAAAAAGAAAATATTTGTGAAAATGAAATGCCGAGAAATGGAGTATTTGCGAATTTACAAGAATTTCAAATGAATTTTGAAAAAATAAAATAAAAAATAATTAAAAAAAATAAAATAATAATAATAATATAAATAAGGAATAACTGGCTAATGAAGTAAAGCGAGGTCGAAGTCATCCTATCTATGATCGATTGGTGATGGTGGGGGGGGGGAGAGTGGGGGAAGT